GAAGGCAGTCGCTTAACCAACTGAGCCACCCAGGCGCCCGTTATACACAATTTTAAACTCTTGATCTTTGTGGCCAAACTTTTTAAGGAGGATGTGCTAATTTTGCCATTTGCAACCTACAATGCTTGAAAAGAGAAGAAGATAGTTTTTAGAATCAAGTATGCCAGAGTTTGAACTGGATTCTTTTAGATCCTCTGAAGAGGATTGAATTATGATTATTTAATGAAGTATAGTTGATACATAGGATTATACTTGTTTCAGGTGTACAACATAGTGATTCGACATTTATAGACATTATGAAGTGATCTCTACGGTCCCTTATTATCTTTTAATAGGTTAATTTGGTTGAACACAAGCATAAACACTCTTGCCCCGTTGGTGAGTGGCTGCTGAAATTTCCTTTTGGTTCTTTTAAGCTTAGCTGGGTTGCTTGGAGTTGGCCTCACTTATGCATGGCTTCGGGGTCAGCCAGAGATTTGGGCAAGAGTTTATGCCCCCAGAACTTGGAGCTTTCCCCACTATCTCTTCCCTTCCCTGGGTATCTCTTCTCAACTTCCAGCTGCTCTGGTTGCCTCGTACTCTGTCCTTGCATCCTTTGAATCAATTCAACTGCACAGACTGTCCTTTGGCTAATGCCTTAAGAAACAAGAAAGTCACAGAGTAAGTTAGTAAATTCTCTCTCTACTGTGAGACCCCAACTGTCTTCAGAATTTACCTTCTTTGGGTCTCTCTTCAGTGCCTTTGGGCAGGTTTTTTTGGGTCAAGAGTTGTTAGCTACAGGGGCACCTGGGTGACTCATTCGGTTAAGCATCTGTCTTCAGCTCAGGTCATGATCTCAGGACCCTGGAATCGAGCCCCACATCAGGCTTCCCACTCAGTGGGGTGTCTGCTTCTCCCTCTGTCCATTCCCCCATTAGTGCTTGCACTCTCTTTCTCTCTGAAATAAATAAAATCTTAAAAAGAAAAAACAACCTTTTAGTAAAGGGCCCATCCCCACTCAGTAGTGACTTTGGGCAAGTCATCTGAGAGCCTCAGCGTTCTCATGTGTAATGGGAGCCCTGCCTACCTCACAGAGCTGTCATGAAAGTGCTTAGGAGACAAGAGAACAGTCCAGACATGCAGAAATAATACTGTGCTGACTCTCACCCTAGATGCACTGTTGAGTGGGTCAGAGGCTCCCCGGTTGCACCTGAGGACCATCACCCTGGAGCCTACTTTATTTTCTTATAATTTCTTTCTTTTTCCCTTCCTTTCTTCCTTCCTTCCTTCCTTCCTTCC